AAATGGGGAGGATTCATCATTTTCTCGGCCATGTGTGCCGAGGGAAACGAGACCCCTCGATACTTTGAACGAGGCTCCGGCGGCAGGTAAGTCTCTCACCCCGTGTCCGGCCTCTGCTATGCTCTTCCTTTAAGTGAGCAAAATTGAATGATTCTTCCGTTTAATGTGGGCATATACATGCCCAACCTTGCCTCCGCCCGTCCTTCTTCCGTAGCTCACCCCGCAGCCCTCCCTCTATCTAACTTTAATTCTACTGACTTTCATTCGAATCTAACTTCAGAAACGGGGTCGCCCACTATCAAAACCCCGGATTCGCTTCTTCAATTATCCAAAATGACCGAGGGGCTGTCGGGCTAACCGAACTTCCTTCCCGTTATTCCCCCCCCCTTCCGCCATAGCCCCGGCGCACCACTACTACTACTAACCTCTAATCCTACTAACTACTCAACCAAACTAACAACACCATCAAACTCGCCTTGCCGAAACCCCCCCATCTCTACGTCTACCTCGCCCGATTCCGACGAGGAACGGGCGAAAACGAACTTCTTCCCTTTCGCTCTCCTTCACCTCCGCCATCGTCCGAGCGGCTCCTTCTTCTCCTACCCTCTAAGTCACTAACTCTCCTCCCAAACTAACATCACTACTGTGTTCGCCCGGGGCTAGAATGCCGAAATCGCCTCCTCCCTCGCTCGTTTTCGCTAAGAAACGAGCGAGATCCACTTTTCTTCCTTCCTCCTTCCTCGTCTCCCACCATCTCTACTTTCGAATGCACCAAGCGCCGCCCGCGTCCACGTTCATCCACGTTGTTCACCTGTTTCTCCGTTGTTGTGCCCTGCCTCCAGTCCCCGACTCACCGTTACCCGCTACGTTCCCTCTAGTCTGGCAGCGCCCACCTAGTCGTTGTCTGCCTTTCTATCTGTCGCCACTCCGCCGGGCCCCTCCGTTCTACGTCTGCGCTGCCGGTACTCCCCGTACCGTTGCGCTGGCTGCGCTATTTCCTCTGTTCGTGGCTGCGGAGCACTACACGGCCAGCCTCGCTCGTAGTAGTTGGTCAAACCGGTCGGCAGCTCCAGTTACTCGGCGGGGAACTTCGGTGGGGCCAGGCGACTGACTAATTCGATTGGTCTTTCGCCCCTATCCTGCATGCATCTGGCGCAGCCCCACGACCGGATTCACCCCCTCTGTCCGCCTGTTGCTTGTGGCCAGCCGTCGCCCCTCCTTGCTCTGCACGCATCCGGCGCGCTTCCTTGCCCGGTTCATCCCACCTTGGCCCTAGCGCCCGTCACTTGACCTTTCATCACATGGCCCGGTAGCACCCCAGACCGCGGCCCTTTTGAGTCCGAACAGCCACCCGCGGTACAGGGCCCCCCTTCAAATGGTACAGAGCCTAGACTGCCTTCATGCCCCTAGGGGGAGGGGGCCTGTGGGGTGGCACGATGACTGGCCCTTCGACGAGGCCCAACCTTAAGGCAACCAGCTGACCCCCGGCTAGCACCACCCACCTGCTCCAGCAGGTATCACCCGTGCTAGTGGGTGCCACTCCCGCATGTTTCCACGTCGGGAGGCATGGGTCTGGATGTGGCCGCCGCGGGGCTCCCCATAGTACTAGGAAGGGGGTACCCTCGGCACTTCTACACCCAAACCTCCCACAGCAAGCCGCGGATGGTGCTGCCGCTGCGGGGATGCCCACGCCATTCAGCTTTTTCTTCCGCCTCGCAGGCAAATCATCCGTCGGCCCGCATGCACGCTGAGCTCCTCGGCCCATGTTCCCAAAACGGGCTGGACAAAGAACTTTCGTGAGCATCCCCACCATGAGGGAAACTATAAGTTTTAAACGAAAAGAGGCGCACGCTCAAGGTTCTCGACTTCCATGACGGTCTCCACATCAGGCGTCGCGTTTGAGTCAAAGAACGCCGGAGCAAAATAATAATACGACAATAGATAACGAGTTAATTTGAACTTCTATTCGTTAGGATATGGCCGCACCGTCCTGACGACAACCACTAAGTCCGGCGTCACGTCGCCAGAACCTACAAAGTCAAACAACCCAACAGTAAATAATAAAGAGAAAAGGAAAGAAACTATAGATAAACGTTGCAGGCCCTATTGACCTCGTGACTTCGCGCACGCCTAGGCAGCACCCAGTTGTGCGTCACCGTCAATACCCGACGCCGCCGCGCGTGCTTCTCACCCTGACAAGAACCTATGCTTCCGCTCAGGTGCACGCCGTCAGGCGGGCGACACTGCACTTGCGTGACTTGCAAACACCACGCCAAATACCCTTGTAAGGGTATTTGGTACCTCAGTCTTCCCGGACCTTATTAAACGACGTCCCCGTCGCACCAAGTATTTCTATTCAGCTATAGTCTTCAGAAGAAGTGCACGATAACTCCTTCGAGTTTTCAACTTCAACTGAAACGGTCATCTAGTTGTATCAGCACTAGACCCCGTTTCCTTAAGACAATTCGTGCAGAAGTCAAAAGCGAAAAAAATACCATTCAATTTCTGATCAAGGATAAAAGTCTATAATAGTCGAGTAATCGGCTAAGCATAAACACTCCTCCATTTTTAATTTAACAAAGTCGATAAACCCACTTTCCTCCCACTACAATCACGGACGGGGAGTCATCCAAAGTCAAACTTAGGACAACAACACTTCCGGTCTCTTTGAGCGATATTTTATCGCGCCGGACACACTAATCATCTCACCACTAGCTAAACTCGGGCCTAGTGGTAGGTTAAATTTCAGGACCTCAATCTTCAGGTAGACTCTTTTCCTTCCACCCATCAATTACTGACACTCAATCGATCTGTACACTCTTATACAAGCTCTCTCTCAAAACAACCTCATTGTGGGGTTTAATTAGACACCCCAATCTTTCGGCTATCTAGAAGATTAGGGTGTTTGACTTTATCACACGTACCACAAACGTACCTTATGGGCAGGGCCCCGTTAAGCCCAGTCCCACAAGGCACTATCACCATTCAGAAACCACTCATTTTACTAACTCACCAAAGGCATGGGCGGTAATATTCACTTAGTCTTTCAAAGAAATAAAAATCACCCCATTTCCCCATAAATCCAACCTTTATGAGTGACATCCTTCACTTTTAACACACACTTTGTTAAACTCATCCACAAGTTTTGCTCATTGAGCCACTCTCATAATTCCTTTTCAAACAGAACTCAACGCCTCTTTCAATCAAACTGATAGCCGATTGGAGGACCTCATAATCAGGCCGATCCTTCCTGTCGTAGATGGTACTCCCACCGGCTATTAGGAAAAACTTTTAGTGTCTCTCTCAAGGTGTCTTAATCATGGAAGTCCCCGTCATAGACTAGACCGCTTGTGACCCATAATAAGTTCAGTAAAGGACTAACAACCAGCCTTACCAACTTTTACGTGACTACGCAAGTGGGGATGCCGAATTGAACGGTTATTTCCTTACCCCCTGCCACACACAGAACCACCCGGGACTCACAGTCACTGGCCGGGTAAGGGTTTTTTTTCATGACAGGTTTCCCTGCCGCAGATGACACGCTTACTGACAGCTGAGGCCCACAGAGTGGAACTGCCGATTTGGCCGAGAATAATACTCTGACTCCAAAAAAAATTCTCGTTAGGCCACCCCCTTCGTCTCAGGGGTGTTATAATAATTTTTAAGACTTCTTTCATTCTGAAGGAGAATTAAAAAAAAATAAAAAAATCTCTGAGCCATCCTCCCACTCATGGATGAATTTGTTTATATCACCTTAAAACATTCTTTTATTTGAAAATGCCCCTCAAACTTTGTCAAGCCGCCCTTGGGCATAGCCTCTCTTTTAATATGATTTTCTGGACTCTTTGAGCCTTCCAGAAACGTCCCACAAATAATCACACTCTCTTCACTTCACCATTGATCGAAGTAGTACACAAAAGACTCACAAGACCACTTTTGATGAGAGTGTCAACGACAACCGAAACATGCACGATCCTGCAACCCGAGGGAATCAAAACCCATATCAAGAGATAATTCCCAGGAGAAGATCAAGTTATCTCACGTCTCACATCCTTATAAATATCAAATTTTTACCACTTCATATCCCAATCAACAAAGGAACCCTGTATAATGCATCACACAGGTCATGCACGCAAAAATAACATCAAACATTCTCGCAAAATTGGGTACGCGTTTAACGCACAGTCGACAATTTCTTAAAAGATCTTCACTCGTGTCTGACAAGGCTAAGGCCAACTTAAAGAGAGGATAATCGAATCCAAATTATACGCACAATCCCAATGGTAAAAACGCTCCTTTGATATCAGAAATATATACAAGAAGGGACCTATGTCTCATAGAATTCATAGGTTTGGAAACAAAAGCAAAATAAGCAGATAATCGCTCATTTGTCCTATCAATCGAGCCTACCGCGCTGTCATGACCTTTCGAGAGTCTATCTATTAGTCACTTAAGATCGATGAATCCATTCTCATCTAGGCAGAGAGCCTTACCCCTAAATTCCTTTCTTCGCCATCTTGCATCTGCGAGGGGTATGACCAGTCTTCCCACAGCAAGCACATACTATCCTCGCCTACCGTTCTCGCCCTCTTTTATTCCTTCGTCCAGCTCGACTTACAGCTGACGATGTTTCCTTATCACCACACTCCTTATTAGGATCAACTGCAGTGTGCGGCAGGGTTATAGCAACTTCTCCCTGAACTCTTTGCTCCTCTATTCCCTTCTCGTCTGGAGCGTCAAGCGTCCTCTCATAGGTATGGGTCACAACCACTCTTACTTTAGCCAGTATCCCTTTTCTCTCACCTCCCGACTCACTTTTCTTCTCTCTGCTCCACCTGTGATTTCGCCTGACGATCTCAGCGTCCTTCTGAGGTCCATCTTTCTTAGCATCAGAGGTGCCTATTACAGGATCATTCAACCTCTTTTCAAGCTCACTCTTTCCACTATCCAACGCCTTCCTTCTTTTCCTCGCTTCCCACAGGGTATGACAGAGGTACTGGTCGAAATCCTCCTGTTCAAGGTTCTCGCGGATCTTATCCCATACTAGTCTCCCCTCTGTCCCATGAATCAAATCTCGTTGTTCTGCATTCGTGAAGTTCATGAGGAAGACAAAGCATTTGTCATGTTCTGACAGTGCCCAGACCTTTCGTGATGCGCGCTTATACTCTGTCAGGAAGTGCCCTACTGACACATAACTATACCGGTCTATCTTCTCAACATCGTCTTTGGTCAGCTGTTCCTCACCTAGCCGGTATTTATTCCACACGTCATCATAAAACTTGTTCCATGACGTCCCTGCCCTTCTAATCAACCCTCTAACTTCCCCCTGCACGCTTACATGGATATACTTTACAACCTCCTTCAGCATCTGCTTCTCATTCCATCTGCAATGAGCTGCTATCTGCCCAAACTTTTCGAGGAAGTCAGAGACATAATAACCCTTAAAGAAGTCGATCTCAATCTTGGGCAGGTTGTCTCGCTCCCAATCTCGCGTACCAAGTAAAGAGGCAAGTTCCTCGACCCCAATCCTTCCTTGAGGCTCCTCCATCCCGGGCTTCCTCGACCCCATCACCTGCTGAATGTTCTCATCATGAGGGCACATATAAGAATCTATTCAGAATAACGGCGTTACCGAAGAGAATCTTTTTAAATAAATATCCACTTAAAACAAAACATGGATATTCACTAATAGACCCCTCCAATCATAACTCAGGCATTAACCATTTATAATTTTTATTATCAAGGCGGGACACAATATACATATGCCACGTAGGTGGATACTCCAATCATGAGCCCAAAATGCAGTACAACACATGAGTAACTATACTCACAACAATAATCACAACATAATAAGCACAACTTATTGACAAGGGTTGTAACTGAAGAGCACGACAATCCTTAATAAACGACAACATGAAACCAACTCAACTGAAAATTATATAACAAGGTAATCCTCAATAATATTCTATGAGGCAAAAATAATAGGACTTGTAATGAGTCAATAACATGATACAATTGTTACCCTTTCAATTCTTAGGCGAAGCATATATTAGAGAGGGGCAGTGTAATCCTCGTGAGATAACATCCCGACTCCTGAGCCCCGCTCTAAAGATCGAGCCTCATCGCATCCCTCTCTGATTTCAACACTTGTTCCTTACTAATCCTATCGTGGCCAAACGGACAACCCCATTCACACTCATCTAGGCAAACGAATAGCGAATTCGCGCCGTTAAAAGTATGGTGGCCCGGCCTAACATGAAACGAGCCTAGGTCGCTACTCCAGGACCGCTCTTGTTAAGCAGTAGTTGTTCCACTCAACCATGACGGTTTCAGCAAGGGTAACAAGCCATTTCCCCCTCTCTTAAGAGATAATGTAGTTACTCTCCCAGTACAGGAAAGACAACAACACCCCACTAATGGACCAGGAACATAGTTCTGGCGTGGGTCTCACTATCAGTTTCGAGACTAATAACTGTTTCCTTAAGCCTCATCGAGGGAGTAACAACTCAAGAATGCACTTCCACTGAGGACAAATTATACACACCGACTAACCCCTTTTCGGAAGAACCACCTTCCACAGAAGCAAATCACCCCATTCACCTCTGGTCCAATGCCAGACGTGGGTTTCGTGCAGAACCTATGTCCTCGTGGAAGGCAATCCATACATACACCATCAATCTAACATCAAACAAAATATAGTGACAACACATATACAGAGACAACCAACCAAACAATCACAAATGCCATATATACATATATCACATATAATTAACACATAGGTCTCTCTTCGGACTAGCCAAACTGCTATCCTAATGGCGACTACTTCTCGAGATTTATCGATAGTTAGCCAGACAATTTGCAAGCGACTCAAATCATCACCAGCCCACACTATCGTAGAGTCTAAGCATCGTACTGGCCACAGTGCCTATCATATCACATAGCCGCCTGGGCTCAAGGAAACATTTTTACAATTAGACTCCTCACTTCGCACTTTATCAGTCATCCCCTCACGCATGCCGCCTTCGTATCAACAACTTTCTAACACAGGGGTCATATGACCAGGGGAGATGCTCCATCTTAACTTGACTATCTCCAAGGCAAGCTTAACATAACAATCACGTAATGGGTCGATTAGCCTTGGATTCCAATCATAGGCATACTTCGCAATGCCTGTGCCACCTTACTCATTCCTAGCCGAATCGAGCCTTCAAAGCAGTACCCAGACTCCTCAATCATTAAAGTCAAAAAACCTTTCAACTCCATTTAATCGCCCTCTAGGCAGTTCTCACAGCGCATAGTCACGGTGCACATCGATCTCAAGCAACCCTTACTGCGTCACTCAAACCCCACTCGCAGAATTAACCCTCACTTCGTACGTTATCCCATACCATATACAATCAACCACTTCTCCTAACCCAGTCAATAGAGCATAAGTGGTCATTGTCCGCGGATTATCAACCTGCTTCGAATCAAGGCTCGATTTCTAGGGACCTCTTAGTCTTTACCTCACTTCCAACGATAGTCAAAATATTAGCCAATCGCTCAAACAAGTCTATCAAAACTTCTCATTTGCCTATTTCTCACTTCCATACCCGGATGTCGTTCCACCAGGGACAACGGTAGGCAACCGTTATCCCCGCCAAAGGCGCCACCTGACGGGCGCATCGGTCCAGCACCGCACGCGGCATCGTGGGACCCTCCCGGCCACGTCACGCAGGAGTTGGTCTAAATCCCTCGTCGCAAATTATACATGTGGAGCTTCCGCAAGCCGCTCCGGCCGAGTGCGCCAGCTATACCTCTCGCGAGCCCCTACGACAGGATAGGGCCTACGCGAGGCACAATTTACCTACACCTTACGGGAGTTGTCACCTCCCTTCGGTGGGCATATCCCCGCCGAGCTACCAGTCCACAGTACGAAAGCTAATCAGTTGCAATCGCAGAGGTGGACCAGCCGAGGACGTTTCTCGTTCGTTGTAGCATAGGGGGTACGTGTGGTAATACGCCTCTATCGGACCCGCACGCGAACCGACAGCTTGGGGGGTTGAACTCCCAAGTGCGATTCAACGTCGGTCGACTGGGACGCATCGCACACACCACACGCACACCACTCTAACAACCACAAGACAACAACACACACACACGGACGAAACGACACAACACAAACAACGCGACAACGCTCCTAGCCCCTCGGTAGTCAACCCATAACTCTCCAACATGGAAATCGGACAGGCGTCGTGCGCGAGACTTGGTATAAAAACTGCGTGGACGCAGGGCTAACTCATATCGACTCGCAATGCAAGCGTACGCAAGCAGTCACAATGATGACGTACTATGTAGTACCCATACTCGCGCGGTCCTCGTTAATCTCGAGGGCTGCGTTCGACACCTAAGTGTCGGGTGACACACGCCTTGAGGGTTAATCTCTCGACGCTGGACAACCGCCGTGCGCGGTTGAAGATCACACACCCTTTTCTGCACCTTATGCAGAGCGGGTAGTACAAAGGTCCATACCTGTGGTGGCAGTCGTTTCTTACTGCCTTGGAGATGGGCCCCATTCCAGGCCTGGACAGAAGTCAAGGGGTTTGACTTTGACGGCAGCCACGGACTACAACGTCCAACTATAAGAATTAACTAGCAAAATCGTTCAATAAAATAAATAAACATCCCACCACTTATACATCCAATCAGATATCGAGATAACAAAAGAAGGGGAAACATAGACCCATCGGGTATGCAAATCGTGCGATGCATGGTTGTCATTCTCACTGCCTCCAAGGTATGGCCTATATACTAAGTTTCAAAATACTAACCTGCATAAAACATGGACACACACAATAGCCACATTGTCATACACCAATGTGGTTAACTTAATTGTTCCCTATAACTCACACCACGCCTCACACTTTAGCCCCAGTCATAGTCAAAATCTCCATAAATCTCACAAGTTCTTTATAATGGTCATTTAAAAGAAGTCCGATTAAAACCCTCAAAGAAACATATCAAAGCTAAGGGCTAAGGCAATCAAATTGGGGTACAGGTATAGGCAAAACTGTGCTGTGAGTCGGCGATCAACCAACCGACTTGTTCTCAGTGATAACAGAAGATGATCCTCGTAGGATTTAAACTGAAGCTAATCCAAATCCTGAATCAAACGA